TATCAGTGTATGTATCAGATATCAGTTAAATTATATATTCAATAGACATATCACTTTATATCAGTTACATGAAAGATACTGCAAAGCATGTATCAGTAAAAGTGCTATATCATTAAAAATCAGTGCTATAATGTTGATATTAATTGCTACAACCAGCTACATCTGACTAATATCAATATCAATAAGTAGCATAATTATGATGTAATCTGCTATAGCCAATAATAGTGATATATTTCGATATTTGATTGCTTTACTAATGCTAGCTTAAGTTTTTTGAGCTATAGCTAATGAATAGCTATACCCCTGCTTTTATTGATATTATGTTGATATGACCAATATTGCGCCTGTGTGGGCGGCCACGGAGTTCAGCACAGGACAATCAGGCCATTGTAAGACTATCAGGGACATTTTTAGGACGATCGGGCTTATTTTCAAACTGGGCCCTGTCGTTCTGAAAATAGTACCGATCGTTCTCTGGGCCCGATTGTCTTTGGGCCCGGTCGCCGTTAAACACAAATTTGGGTTGGGTTGCTAAATAAATGAGAAAGTCACAAGAATTGTTTTAAATTAAATTTTATATCATGCTAAAATTTTCTGCTATAGTATAGGCCTAGGCCTAGGCCTACCAGTAGTCTAAGTAAGTAAGGGGTGGTGTAGTATAGTACAGAGAACGTATTCTAAGTAAGTATCATTTTGTTTACCAGTTAATGACCCATTTTGAGTTTCTGTTACTTTAACATCCTGAGAAGTGGGTTTCAGCAAATTGACTGGATTTTTTTGGAGTCGTCGGACAAAATGTTTGAGAACTGCCGGTTTATTCCGTCTGCCAACAATAATCAAACTGTAGCAGTATAATTTCGCCTGCCTTACATTCAGATATTATTCCTGGATACAGCTCTTTTTTGAAATAAGCAATTATAGTCAGGTTTTAAGTATGCAATAGAAAATACTGTAGAAGTAAAAAAAAAAATTTAAAAACTTTCATTATTTATGTGTATTTTTTATGGTATCTGATATTTTCCATTCATGGTGTTTTCGTTTAGTTTGGACCCAGAGTCTGAATCCATCCCATCCTTTTGCATTTGTTTCTTTTTGTGTTTGATTTTTTGTGATGTTAAAGTGGAAAATCATAATTTTCGTGGGTCTTAGCTAGAAGTAGGTACTTGTCTCGCTAGGACCCACTGAAGAGGAAAAAAGGAAGTAAATGTTTTTTTGTGAAATGCAATAAATTGAATAAATAAAAGTCGGAGGAGCCATTATTGCCTGAAGCCCGCAGTGCTCTACGGATGACTATAATTGCTTTACATGTCAGTTGGGACGATCACCTTTTATATGGCCCTTTAATCATTTAACTACTTGAAGAGCGGTTGTTATATATTCATAAATCAAACTGCTGGTTGCTTGTTATCTCGTAACAATTCTGCCTATTCTTGTCTAGGACGGTCTAGGCTTCATTCGTGTTAACCAGCACTGTAGAGCAAGATTTGTTAGGTTTGCTGTGTGCGTTTTAGCTTGGCCTAGCAACGTACTGTAGTAAAATCACCACAAATTTGAGCTTTTTGCACATGAGACGCAAAAAATTGGAGGCACTATATCGAGTTAGTGATCAGTTAGGGATAGGAATATTCAGTGCAAATGAAAGTGATGATGTCACCACTGACTTATAATATAAGAGTACTTTTCATTATTTATTGTACTTGTGTAATAAATAATGAATAGAGGTAATGAAGTGTATTTTCATTATTTGTATAATAATGGGTAGAGAGGTAATTAAAGGTATTTTCATTACAGTATTGATTGTATTTATATACATAACTTGCATTGTGTCATATTATGGTACAGTACATTATATTCTGCTTTATTGTGTGTCTATTTGTTGAATAACTGTATTGATTGTTCCATATAAAAAAGCAATAATGGGCAGTGGTATATATTAATAATATACTGTAGTAGTGTTATATTCATATAATGCATATTGCACATTGCCCCTATGCGCTTTACACAGAAATAAGTATAGGCTAACCGAGAAACTACAAATAACAATAAAATAATAATAGATTAATAATAAAATTTAAAAAAAAACAAATAAAATAACAACAATAAGAATAATAATATTTGAAGAATGTTCATTATTTATTGTATTTATTCACATATTAATGGATAGAGGTAATTTCATTGTGTTTTGTATTTGTAAAATAATGGTTAGAGAGGTAAAGCCTATTTTCATTAATTGTATTTATTCGCATAATAATATGGTAATAAAGGGTATTTAAATGATTGATTTTATATTATATATTCGTATAATAAAGAGTAGAGGCAGTGAAAAGTATTTTGAATATTTAATGCATTTTATACAGCATGTGAAAGTTAAGGTACTGTTAATTTAACTTCTGATGCAGTTTTCGTTGAACTTTTAACACATTTGTTTTATTTAATCATTTGGGTAATTACCTTTCATTTGGGTAAATTCATTTTATTTGGGCAATTCTTTGGACTAGGTGTGGGCTTAGACCCTAGCCAAGTCATGCCATCACCACCTCAGTTTTTCACCAACTATAGTAAAAATAAAATCGGTTTCTATTTAAAAAGAATGTACAATGTTAGTTATTTGTATTTAAGGATTTAAAGGTTTAAAAAAAAAAAAAAACGTTAAGGAATTTACATTAAGTGCTTCACCCAAGTTAAAATTAGTTTTTCTCTTTTGTCTAGAAATATACTCTATCAGATCGTGGTAAATTTCTTCAAGCTGAATTTAGTGAGAAGATTTACAATGGCAGCTACAGCTTGCAGCAAGGACCTGCGTTCTCGTTTCCAAGGATGTTTAGCAGCTGCCGTAGCTGGTGACTGCCTCGGCGCTCCATTTGAGGTCAGTGGTGTCAAGAGTGTTGAAGAAGTTGTCAAGTTCGAACAGCAGTTGAGCAGGTACATTGAAAAAGAATTAAAAGCAAGTAAGATCAAATCAAAATTTTTGTTTAACTTACTATTTGATAAAACCAAGTGGTATCATTGAAAACCTCATCAAGAATTTGTCCCATAGTCAGTACTTATTGGTATATTCAAACTTCAGTAAATTACAAAACAGAAAAATTTAATTTTTTAACATTTTCAATTGACATCAATATTTGAAATTTACTTTAAAGAATACGGTAATTATATTATGCAAATTATTTTGTTTAATTTTGATTGACAGAGCATTTGGAATACACAGATGATACTGCCATGGCGAGATCAGTGGCCCAGTCACTGATTGACAACAAAGGCAAATTCAATGCACGAGACATGGCAAAAAGGTAATGAATATTATAAGTTTGTATATGTATAAAGTTGTGAACAATAGAGCAGGTCATTTATCAATAGTAATAATCTTTATTTAAAAATTTTTTACCCTGCATGTGTATTCAAACTTGTGGGTTGGTATATATAGCTTATGCAAATTAATATATATATATATATTTATATATAGCTTATGCAAATTAATATACTGAATAGCTTATAAAACTGTATTGACAAAATTAATAATTATCAAAGCTTACATTCATAATAAAATCAAATTTAATTTCATGTAATTTTTATCCTAGCTAAAATGTATTCATACTAACATATTTCAACTAGCTGACATTACAATCACATCAAATACAAATTAAGGATATAACTATACAGTACTTCAAATTAAGTACTCTTAGCAATTTTGTTTTCTATTGAAGGCATTACTGGTTTAGTTCATTCTACCTCCAAAGTCAGATTTACTGTTCATGACATAAAAAAAACCTAGTAAAAATTGTTGAAATGCTGTTTATTGAACTAATACAGAAGCCTGTATTCACAGTCTATAGCCTCCAGTATTCACAGTCTGTGCATGACTTTTGTATTAGCCTTTTCACACATAGTCTCAGTTATTGTTTAGTTTTCCACCAATCAACAGCAAGTGTTTCCCTGTTTTGGAATTTCTGCAGATTTTATTCTCCTGAAGACAATTGAAGCAACTCAATTGAAACATTTGAGGTATTTTCAGCCAACATCATCAGTTCTTTAAAGAACTATCTACGTGGTGTACCGCAAGCATTAATATATCTTATTCTCCATGCAAACCTTCAAACAACATTTCAGCATTCAGTAGTTGTTAAGGCAGTTCTTCTTCTACTGCAGATTTCATGATGAGTACTTAAAAGAGTCAAACAGAGGGTATGGTGGCAACGTCATTGATATACTTGGACCACTCGGTGACCCTGAATTGACCGATGTTTTTCATCCTGCAACGACGCAGTTTAATGGAAGTGGGTCATATGGAAATGGTGGCGCCATGAGAGTGGCTCCTGTTGGTCTTGCGTTCTATAATAACTTTGAAATGATGAAACAGGCAAGTTACCTTAGGGATCATTCATTGTTCTTTTTTTTTTTCAGGGGGCAGGAAGGAGTCACCCAGTGGCTTACAAGTTTTCTGTCATTTTTTTATTATTATATTATTAAAGCCAATGTTAACAATTTGCTAAGCTGGTAACAGTTGCCCAATATGATATTTCATAGTACTGTACTGTAAAACCTTGTTCATTAAATTGTTTACTTTTACAGGTGGCTGTTGATTCTGCTCGCATTACACATTCCAACTGCCTTGGCTACAATGGCGCCCTCCTACTTAGCTGCGCTGTCTATTCTGCATTACACATTGAAGCTGGAACTGCTGTCAATAGTGACCAATTTATTGAAAAATTAATTGACATCATGAAAGATGTAGAAGCAATAGATCACACCATGCAAGACAGTGGAGACAATCAACCTAAGAAATCAAAGTACAGTGTTTTTATATTAAATATTTCCTCGACATCTTAAGGCCAACTCAGACAGCGTCGGCCGACGCAGCCCTACCAGATTTATCGTCGGGGACAGTCTTAAGCCGTCGTGAGAAATATTAAACATGTTTAATATTCTACTACGCGACTGCCCCCGACGCACACCATCGCGTCTGCGTTCAACTCACACAGACCCGACGCGACAACAAATCGGGTCGGGCTGCGTCGGCCGACGCTGTCTGAGTTGGCCTTTAAACACAATATACATCAAGACTGGGTATTAAAATGGATTGTAGAGCCAAAGTAAATTTTTCATCTAACACAGACCGCCACATACAAACATAAAGATATTTTAAGGGGAACATTTTATGTTTCCAGTGTGTTAGTTAAAACATTGCTTTAATGTCATGTTTAAATTCCAAGGAAACCCACATTCGCACCAACAGGTACATTCCATGTCCTACCTTATGGTCAACTTCAGGAAGTAACTAAGGTTATTCACACAGGTAGTTGATGAGTCAATGATGTGTCATTAACCATCTTCTTGGAATCTATAATTCGAGTTCTAACCTATCTTGCGAGTCAACATAGTCCCCAACAGGACATTAAATATAGTTTGCCCTCCAATTCTAGACCACTTTGGGACATGAAAATGTGGAGTGGTCTCTGGGTTTAGTCTCCACTTATGGGTTAGCTTTGTGTTTTTGCCTTGATTTTTATTTGGTTCTTGGAAAATATGGTTTCGAATTAGAAGGATCTTGAGTTGGGAGGGTGCATTTTCCACCTTATACAGTAATTTATTGACGGCGCATCTATTTTGCAATTTAACCCATACCTTGTAATTTTGTGTAACTTGTATACCCTTATGTAGGCCCCACCCTTATATTATCACCTAACAATCTAATTTTCAATTTACTAATAGGTTAGATGAAAGTGTGGCAGATGACCCTGTATACACTAGAAAACTGATGGCTGCCCAAGAATTCCTCAAGAGAGACAATGTTGATAACAAAGAGGTTGTTGAAGTTCTTGGTAAGCCAGAAGTCAATTGCAAATTAATGATGCCCGAGTAGAAGCAGAAAAAGTTGGGCAGGATTTTGGCATGCTGGAAGGGAGGCTAAAGCCGACAGGAAGCTAATAATGTAAAATGTGATGTTAAACATGCAAAGGAAAATGTTGAGATTAGATAAATTTGGAACTGACCTGTAGAGGGCAGCATTACTTTTGTTTTCATTTTGGATTCAACTTAATTTATATTTGTTCTTTAAAATTTCAGGAAATGGTATAGCTGCTCAAAGGTCTGTAGTAACTGCAGTCTACTGTTTCTTGCGCTCGGTTAAATCAATTGAGACTATACCAACACAAAATGGTCTTGTTCGCACAATTCTATACGCCATCTCAATGAATGGAGATACTGACACAATAGCAACCATGGCTGGTGCTATTGGTGGTGCTTATTATGGACTTGAATCCATGCCTGAAAAATGGAGGGAAGTTTGCGAAGGAGTTGGGGATGCTATAAAACAAGGAGATGAGTTGTTCAAGCTCAATGTTGGGAATTGAAACAATGACATGTATATTTTTGTAACATACCCCGATGTATGTCTTTTTACTAAAAATATAAATTGCGCCATACAAGCTTGCATCTTCAAAATGAAGCTCACATCTTCAAAATGATTCATTATTATTAAGTTTATTTTTTGAATTTGTACAGCAAGCAAAGCGAGGAAGCTTGGACCGAAAATAATAATTATTACTACTACTCTTTATTAGTCCTCATTCATTGGAAATCGGAAATTTGGGCTGGGGACACGTGGCAGCCACATTGCAGTGCCACCCAACTTAACTACAGCACAACTGGCCTAACCCGCCTAACTCTCAATGTGAGGGTTATTCAAGGAGCCAAGTGGTCAGACTCCAATTAAAACTCAACGAACGCTGGCTGGGTTTGACAGGGGTCGTTAGCACAAGAAGCAGGAACAATATTTCTTTGTGAACCGTTGAGCTCAGTGAGCAGCATAGGAACTTGTGCTCGCTATAGACAGACCCTAGACCTTTACTCCTGGGGACTTCTGGGAGATCTGGTTAAATGAACTCTCTTAACAGCTTAGCTCAGTCGGCTAATCTGGTGGTAGCCATTGTGTGTGCGCTGAACCGTCGAGATCCCTAGGTCCCCGGTTAAATTCCCATTGCTGCCTTTCCTTGTGTTTAAAGGGCTGAAATACAAGTTACAAAAGCGCACCGTCTTTCGGATGAGATGTTTAAGCCATTGGTCCTGTGTGCATTAATGTCCCATGTGCACATTAAAGATGTATTGTCCCTTGCTAATGTCAAAGAATCATAAAAAATAAGTTTGAAATAAACTTGCTCATTTTGCAATAACATACAAATTATTAACTTGTGCATAGAAATTATTGAATTTAAAAAATGTGTACCCTGATTAACCAACAAATTTTAATAAAAATAATAAAACATTCCAGTGACTGGAAGTGTTTCTATCATTTTTTGCTGTAAACTGATGGGTAGACATTTTTGAAAAACACTAATTTCTATGTTCAAGTTAATAACTTTTATGTAACTTCAAAATGGGCAAGTTATTAAAAAAAATATTTTTATGATTTTTTTTATATTTAGCATGGGACAATGCATAGAAATTATTGAATTTATTAAAATTGTACCCTGATTGTTAAACCAACAAATTATAATAAAAATAATAAAACATTTCCAGTGACTAGAAGTGTTTCTATAATTTTTTGCTGTAGATTGATGGGTAGAAATTTTTGAATATGTTACTTCAAAATGGGTAAGTTAATATAAAAAATTTCATGATTTTTTTTATATTTAGCATGGGACAATACATCTAAAAAATGCAGTACACTCTTCGAAAAGAGTGGAAATTGTCTCCACCCAACCACCACCAAAAGGACTCCACTGGAAATAAGTGTTCTGCTAGACTTTTGTGGGCTATCCTTGGTGTTTACACTGAATAAATCCAATCCAATATTGATTTTTCTTTGTATGCATTGGTGATTGACACTCACTTCAGTGAGAGAATTGATAAGGGTAAAGTAAAAACATGCAGATATAATAAATTTGCTTGAGATGGGTTAGTTTCTGTGAGATTCTTGCTTGCAGGACCGAAGTCTCCCTCAACTTGCATCATCAGATCTAGAAACTAGATGCCCGGAAGTTGCGCTCCAGACTGTAAAGACTACCAACAACAAACTCAAAAAAAACTTTTAAATTTTTTCAAAATGTATTATACTTTCTCAAAAAAATGTATTGATCAATTGAATAAGATAAAGATATGCAATTAGATTAGGCTGCTATTGCAATAGTACATTTATAATCATGTGTACAAATTAAAAACTATTTTAATTAATGTGGATATTATTTCTTATTTAAATACTTTCAGTACATTTCCTCTACCAATATCTACTCAGTGCTTGAACATAACCTTTTTTATTACCTGGTGGTTAGGGAGTCAATTTGGAAACTTTTTTAAACATAATTAGTAATCACAATAATTATCATAACTATAACATTATTAAAATCTAAATAAATGAAAGAATTATTTAATGTGAAAACAGCCTTTCTGGCTCTGCATATCAAGGTCATAGACAAGGGGAAAAGCAGCCAAGTGTTTATAGAATGCCTCATAAAGGCAGTATAATAGAGGAAGTACAGCTAAAAAAGATCTCAACCAAGTCTAACGGAACTAAAAAGGTGATGCTCACATGGTCACATGATAGTGTAGACAGCTAAGAATCCCACACGATCAATTTCGCTTGGGCAAGGCACTTGAGCTGTGGTTAGGGCTAATAATATTTCAAAGGCTATACAAATAATTTTTCAGTGTACTGCTATTAAAAAAAGATGAAATAGTGAATACAACAACTGTACTTTCATCTGTTTATAACAATCTTCATTTATAAAAGCAGCCTGAATAGGTTCTACAAGTTATACAACAAAAACTATTATATATAATATCCAGGAAAATATATAAGAACCTCATTCATATTTTTGTCAGTCTGCAGGTTCTTAACCACTAGATTCAACAGATGTTCAGGCGAGACTTTTTTTATACTTTGTTTCAAGATCATCAGAGGAAGGAAAAAATCAAAACTAAATTTATTTAGGAAATAGTTTTGCCAAAAATATCCAGACGGAGGTGAATGTAAACAGTTTGGTAATAGGATGGTTAAATGCTTTAAATTAATATAATTAGGAAGAAATATATGTTATTTTTTGGAGATTTCAAGCCATTTCTTCGTGGCGGCGAGTGCTCTAATTGGCAAAAAATAAAAGTCGCTAAACAAGGTATAAAAAGAGTCGCCTTATGGTAGTCTACTTTCCAAAGTAGTCATAATCTACTGCACAACATAATAAGCAATAATAAATTAGCATAATATACTATGCCTAATATGGTCACAAAAATTTACATAAATGAAATAACTGGGATTTGTTTACAACCCTCAAAATTACTCATGTATATTTGGTTTCAAATACACAATCAACAAACAACAAAATCACTTCATCTTAATTTTTGATAGCAATTATAATGGTCAATGATCCTGTATAATAATATTAAATACAGTTATCAATTTAAATGCATTCATTCTTTTAATAAAATCACCAAATTAAAATGTACAGAGATGATGTTTCAAAATTCTACAATACAGTATGTAGAAAAAAACCCCAAAAAAAACCTGCTTAGATAATACATTAAAAAAAAGTTCATAATAGAATACCTGTATAATATAGTACCACACACTTCTACACTATCCTCGTATATAATTTTGTTGTATAAATTTGTACCTTTTGGTTTAACAAACTTGAATCACTGTCTACATCCTACATAAATCCTACAATTTTGTGCGTATTTTTTATTAATATACGAGAGATAACGCCACAAAATGAGACGCATCGTTGGTGAGATATCAATATAATAATCGAAAATGTAATTATTTTCATGAAATTTTGTTCTCAACATTCTTTTCAATACTTATATATTATTGATATTTATGATAGGACAGTAAAATTTGTTAGTCCTGTTTAAATAAAAATACAGAATCAATCATTTAAATGGATCAAGTATGTTATAAACTTTCAACGAGACAGAAAAGGCGTTCAGTTCTTTCTTTGCTGACATTTCATTACGAAAATCCAAAAATAACTGCTAGCCAGTTAAGAATTCTGTAAATTGAAGATTAAGATATTTTTTTATTCTAATTTTCAATTGAAAGTCAATAACATAAAACTAAGCTATTAAATATTTAATTCAAAATGTTAATTAGCTTAGCCCAACCAGTGCATTTATAAGGCTGTTAATATTAATTAAATCTTCAATTCTTTTTTTGTAAAAATGTTTGAAAAATACTCAATTTCAAGAGAAATAGTCAGCCTGTTGAAGAGCAAGTTACTGTACCCAATTGTAAAGTGCATTACTAAGTACTGGAAAAATGCCTGAACTCAAAACAAACTATTTTTAAACTTAATGTGAATTGTAAACAAAGTATGAATAAATTACTAGGCTTTAATTTGATTTATTTCATTTCCAATTGTCTTCTGTTAATTGCACTTTAAATTTAAATGTACATCAACACTGCAAAAATAACACTGATCAATTAGCTTTCAATACAGCTCTGGATAAAATGTTTACAGCTTTTATTAACCAAGAAAATAAAAAGCAGAATATGTTTCTTGTTTTCTGGCAAACAATGTTGTTTTACAAATACCCACTTACTATTATTATACTATTACTGTTACTATTATTTTTAAAACTGGGGTGGCTCCAGGATTTGCCCGACAAGAGCAGAGTGGGCGTGGTCAGGCGTCAATCGTAATATTTTGAGTGGTCCAGGGGCTTCGAAAATTTGGGGGTTTCAAAGGATTATTTAACCTACAAATATGTAGAAAATACATATAATTGTTTTCTCCCTAGACGAATTGTGGTTTTTCTCCCTGACGGGTGGGTGGGTCTGTGTGCACCCCCTATGGTGCCACCCCTGTTTTAAAATGATTGAGCAAGACTACAATAATATATGCTAAACATATAGTTTCATGTTGTTAGTGTCAATTGAAGTGTTTGAAAGGAAGTGATCACTGCATGTGGTCAAGAAAACAATGGATCATAACAGGATACAGGTATTTAACCATACAGTACAGGATTTTGATCAGTCACTGACCAAGATGACTAAACCAATGCTTTTCTAACATTAATGTATGTAGCAATCAATTTGTGTAACCCAAGCGCATTGAAAATTGGGGATAGGGATTAATGGACCTTTCCGCTAAGCCCTGCCGCCCCTTGTTACAACAACTCTGCGATAATACTATGCACTCCATACACTGTACAACACAGAAGGTGCCACGATCAACCCTACCCATGTGAACCTCTATGCTGGGGTACTTGGGTAGTACATATACCAGAACCAGGGTCCCAATAGCGGAATGTATGTAAACACATGCGTGTTGGCCATTCGCGTATTCCTGGCAATGTTCTGATTGGTAAGTTTGATTGACACCCCAGAAAGGTCCATTGCTTTGTAACTTGTTCGCTTGGGCCATATCATTAAAGGAAAGGGTAAACACTTCCAATGAGCTAAATATAAAAAATATCCAGGTGAATCCAAATACCTTTAAAGATTGATGTAGTTAATTTGACAATCAAACAATAATAATTGAATAAAAATATAAAAATGGGGAACGGTGGGTTTTGAAATAGGCAATTTGGTGGGGATACATATATGTAAGGACTAAGGACTTTTCTAGTAAAAGAATATAAAATTTTGGAATGGAAATTACTGTAGAGTAGGTGATCACCAGCCTAATGAAACACTTCAGTTGTTAAGTTTTTAATTCAACCCTAAATCTATGATCCATCAATAGTGTAGTACTGTACTAAGTATACAAGCACAACATTCACAATCTTAGCTAAAATATCACAAATTATTTCATAGTTATGCATCTATTTATTACAAACTCAACAACAATCCCATTCTACTTCTTCACGAGCAGGGGCGGTGCCAGCGGGCCCAAGGAACTTAAGCCACCCATGATGCAATCAACTTGCCTTCTACTTGTCAGACCAATAAACTGGGCAAATTTATTTTTTCTTAAATATAAAAACTTTTGGGCATATTACATGCTAAAATATCTCACAACGGCTTAAAATTTCCCCAGTTTTAGGCGCTAAGGGAAGACCCCTGGTGCCCCCTCCAAGGATTCAAGCCCAATCCTGACAGTATCCAACAGAAAGTTGTCAGACCCCTGTTGGACAGCTTTAGTACCCCCTCCCACACACATTAGTGCAAACTCTGGCACCACCACTGTCAATAATATGATTATATTTTGATATGTTCTACAGAAATGCTTACTCTAGTGATTTTCCCCCTTAAATCTTTCTGTAGTGATGCCACAATCAAATCTCCCTCCGATTCACAACTTGTGGTAAAATGTCTTGATTTGAAATTTAAAGACAAATTACCCTACTGCTTCTCTCCCTTTAATGATAGATTTGTACTTGCCATCACAAGCCCTGTTGAAGCTGCTGTGTTAGTCTCCGTATCCGTGTGTTTAGTGATCATGAATTTAAAGAATTCATAGACTGACCATGAAATCGCCGTAGCCGGCATTTGGAAGATTACTCTGGCACGTAAGCCTTTGAAGAATCCGGAAAGACCTTCATTTACGTAAAGCGTTCTCATCCCATTGATCATACCCGTAATTGCAACATTTGTGCCGTTTCTATTATTCAAAACTAACTTTTCCTGAGTGTTGAGCAAAGTCTTACACACGTCCAGCGGAGTTGTGGCCGCTGCTGCAACTGCTCCAGCACATCCACCCGAGATAACGTGGGTTTTAGGGTTGTATTCCCGCTTGGGATTAAGTGTCTCTTGCCCAATTTCATATGTTACAAAATGTATGACTTGAAATGGGATATTCATTGTCAGTTGTGTAGTGTAACTACGATAGAAAGCGAGGCTGCCCTCGCTCCGCCAAATAGTCCTCATGCAGTCAATTCCACTCTTGTATGGGCTTTGGTGCATCTGCAATCGTTGCTTCACAACTACGTAATTAGTGAATTTGCATATTTGTCGACAAATAATAACAATCATTACAACAATGAGATAGAATCCATGTAGTGTCGCACAAGAACAGATGAGATTCCGTGGATATGTGGAAAAAAAAAAACGCCTTGAATTTCACAAAGAGTTAATGTGTTTCAAAGAATTTAATTAACGAATGAATTATTTACAAAGCCCATGTACAATTGTCTAGATGGAAAGAAAAAAAATGAAAGCCACAAAAAAGAAGTCTTCTATTTAATAATGCATTGAGCTTGTTAATTCAAGCATTTTTTAATTGAATCTTTTTTTTAAATCTTTATTTCAGCAATCAAAAGCCATATAAATTCAAAATACAAAGGAACATTACAAATGCAGAAAACAGAATAGAGCATCACAAGAATTTAAAAATACTGTATACACTTAACAGTACTGATAAACGGGTTTTAACTAAATTGTTTGTACTCTTTTCCAATCTACATATAAAATTATAGCATGTTTTTCTGTAATATTCATAGATTGGGTTACATTATTCAATAATTAGTTTTTCTTTTTTTAGAATAATTCCAAATACAAAGCTGAAAGCCACTGTAAATATAGGCTACAATAACAGGAGGTGTAGAAACGTGTGATTAATAATAGCACCATTCACAATAATGTAAATAACATCCAAAAAAAAATTCTGCACGTTTTCTTTTTTATCTTACCATCCACTGGATTCATTGCTGCATCATGCAACAAGGTCGCAATGCTCCCGGCAACAGCTGAAACAAACAAAAACAATCAGCAGACTACATTGATCGCCATAACGACAATCTGACATTTTAGTATCCCAGTTACTAGGTAATTTCTGAGTAGCTGGGTTACAGTAACAATTATACATTTTTATCAATTTTTCTTAATAATAATTTGGTGTTTAAAAGATGCTTTTCCAAGAATTTAAAGTATCGTACAAGTAAGTTGAAATGCAAAATAAAACATTGCCAATACTCTTGCGCCACCAATGCTGCTGCCGCTCTTGCTACTTATAAGATAAAAACATCTGCATGCTTTAAATTTTTAAAACGATGCATAATTATTAGGATACAATTACAAATGTATGTTTAAAATAAGTTTCATGAATAACTATAGAAGGTTTGTTTGGCTTTAATAAACAACAATAAACCAAAAATACGCAAAACAATTTGGTTTATGAATGGAGGTATAAAATTACATCTGTTGTGATATAAAGTTTAAAAAGATGTTATTCTGTAAATGTATAAAAAAATATCACTAAGCAAGGAAATCATACCTGGAGGAATATTGATGATTTGTAATAAAATAATAAGATGATTCATAAACTAATTCTTCTTACAAGGCTTAGGTCCGGGAGAAGATTTTTAGTTGCAAGAAAAAAATCCTTGTAACTGGATTTGAACCCAGGACCCAGGGATTGGAAGGCAAGTATCTTAACCACCAAGCTAAGTAAGCTATATCTTAACTACAAATCACAAAAGTGTTTAAGAGGTATTAACATACATTCAATTTTGGTTAACTATTTTGTTAAATAAATTAACACTTCATTATTTTGTTTGGTTTTTCCCCCCAAATCTATTATCTCCAAAAATATACAATAAGCTACTTATGACTCAGATATTTTAAGAACCTTTAGGAATAGCATATGTCCTTAGAGGAGTATCCAGAATAAAGAATAGCTTTCTATCTACTCAAGAGTGATCTTGTTTGGTGAATTTACTTACGTGAAATTACCATCCAAACTTTCATCTTTGGACTTGATGAATACAAAAAAAAAACGATCACATTAATCTTTCCATGACAGTTACATAACCTCTGAATATTTTATTAAGAGACATTGTAAATACTGTACTTGATGTTATCAGTAAAAAGCAAACAGCAGCACAACAACAGTATTTGTTGGTGACAAAGTAAAGTTAACAATAAATACTAATAAAAAAGGAAATACTGTACAGTACTGTGATAATGTATACAACAGATTTTCGTAAGATAAAAAAAGCATATTTGATGAAAAACTGAGGTACAGATTTCTAAATATTTCAAAACTGTGGAAAAGGTAGAAAAATGGGTGGTTACACCCCTTTCTGCCCCTCCCTCCTCCCTCAATTTTTAAATATTCAAAAACCTGTATCTCATTAACCGCTCCCAAGTTTTTGTCAAATATGTTTTTTGTGCTTTAGAAAAATCAGTTGTACAACATACAGTTATTAGGATATATATATATATATATATATACATATATTACGATATATATATATATATATATATATATATATATACTGTATATATGAAATTGCTTATGTTATAGTTATGTTTAATTAATGGTCAAATAAATGTAAATTGAACTTGATATCAATTTTTGTTTTCCTCCAGAGCCTGGTTTTAATATACTGTACCAAGATTCCATTTCAAACCACCAAGTTCCCTTCACTGCTTCTCCATGTAAAAAACCCCCCACCACGAATATTGTAAAAAATATTAAATATTAAACATTAAATTACAAATATAATGTTCTGGATTCCAACCAATATAATTTCATTTTGATTTTTCATTAATTATATATATCTTTAAGTGTCAGTCGATAACTATTGGATAAATGCCAAGTCATGCAAATGCATGACACAGCAATTCTCTAGTGCAGAAAAAACAAGGTCACAGTTGTCATCAAATACTCTGCATTCAATATGGGATGACAGGACCAATCACATGACCAATGATAAGATAATAGGACTGTTGTCTAGGGCACAAAGTGTTGATTTAACTATAATGAGGATATGATGTACACTTGAACAATAGATAATTTACATACTGAAAAATATCAACTTCAAGCTTTGGAAGAATTGTATGTCACTTTTTGGACAAGTTAGACTAATCTTGGTGCAACAGTACTATACTGATCTTCTTGCAGGGACGAATCCAGTGAAAAATCTCGGTAGGGGCCATGCATGCGACATGTGAAATGCTTCAATATAGACACTGCTACATGGAATTTAAATATAAAATTAGCTTGTTTTGGAGTAACATGCTTCTATCTTTCTCCTTTCTTTGGGCCCTACTGCCCCCACCCCTGGAGCCACCCTGCCTTGTGCTATATATTAAATTCCTTATGTTAGGGGCCTGTTTCTACTGGAAAGAAATAATCAATTAAAAATCGATTTTTCGAAAAATCGCTTTTATTCTCGCAGTAGAAACGGGACCCTTTTGAAAAAAGTGATTAAAAAAAATCGATCAAAAACATGCAACGGATAGCGTGTTTGAATGGCAAATAACCGATTTTGGCTGTGCACCTTTTAGCTGCAACACAAAAAAAGCGATTATCAGGTGAAATGTGACCTCCAGTTCAATCACTGCAAAGACTAGATCGTATTACGAATTCGTTTTGTAACTATTTTGTGGGGGGGATATTGGGCCTAGGTCTCTCCGCTCTTTTGGGTCTACCGTTGTCCTCGTTCATTGTGCCGATGAACACAGCCGAAAACCTTTGCCTTGTTGCCCCACACCATATCTTACTCCTCGTCATCATGACAGGAATGAGAAAGATACTATCCTATACAGTTAGGAAACAACGTGTTGTATAAACAAAAGGGTGACGTAATTTCCGTCACGAAAACCGATTTTCGAAAAATTAAAAATGCAGTTGCAACACGAGCAGACTGTCTGGTACTCATTAAAAAAAAATCAATTATTTTGCGTTTATCAGTAGAAACACACCCTAAGATACTCTACCTACCATTAACCAATGGATTTTGACCTGGTTTCCCAGAGCTCAGTGTCTTCTTTAAATGTTCGTAACAGGAGAAGTAGAGGGCGTGAGAAGGTCCAGCTCCAAGAGCTACAATATTCAGACCCCGCACGACCCGGAACAATCCCTCATTTTGAATGATAGTGCTGAGCGTTCCAAACACGCTGCGGTACATCGTCTGAGATGTACGGACACTCTGCATCCGTGTCTGAAAATAAAACAACAAAGAACCAGATATAGGTTATGTACTCTTCCATGTGTTAATTGTGTAAACAATCAGGTAGTAATGTATTTGAAACTGGTAGTATATAAACCGGTAATAGCATAAGCATTATTGCCTTATGATGACGTGTGACACACTGAAACATGCTGTTAATTTAGTTTCATATATTTTATTAGATGTATTACTGCGTTTGTACTACTAATGTATATTGCTAAAGACTCATGTAGAAATGATAATACGGACTACAACACTGAATGTTATTGCAAATAGCTTATACTGTAATGTAATACTTAAGCAGCTGACCCCTTGCTTAACAATGCATTAGAATATAAAACGTTTTCATTGTTGTTATTGTTATCTACCATTTTTCTCTGTGTTTTCTTTTTTTTTTCGAGCACACCTTCTTCTTTTGTGCACAAACTTGCACAAATTTGCCTTTAAGCTTGGAGTTGGATCAAATAAAACCAATCAAACATTGAGTCAAAATTACCTTCCTGCAGGTTGTTTCAAACTTAGATAAAATGTTTAATAATTATTATTAATTAATATATTTATAGGGAATGTGAATGATCAAATGAACTTAATTGCAGTACCCTCTAAAATATCTAGAGCAGATTATATAACTTGGACACAGATAATCTACAATGTTGTTAACCATCATTTACTGTTGATATACTATAAACCACCCACCAGCACTACCAATTCACTTCAATTTAATAATTCCATTATCAGTTTTCATCAGATTACTGTCTATAAAGGCTACAATTCAATACTAAAATACTGCGAATTTGCATAGACCTGCTGTTAGCACAAGGGCAAAATGTGGTGTAGACAATCACAGAAAAGACAGTGAATAAGGAATTAATTTAATTGGTGCTAAAACTAAGAAATAGATCAGTGTTTCCATATACTAAGGCCTAGTAGTGTTTACTGTATTGCCTGTTTTTTTTTTTACAGAGCATGAAGACTTATTGGACATTCTTATTTGAAATTTATGAAATAGTGTAAATATACAAAAGATACCAAGTTATGTGCAAAGTTATTGACAACCACATTACAAACCACATCACAAACATCCTGATTCTTTGAATACTGTTAGTGTTCGGCCAAGGTTTACTACTTATTCAAAAAGATTTGAAGAAAATGCAGACACTGTGGTCATTACTATGGCATGACTGGATGCCTACTAACAGTGAACAGTGAGTGGAGGAGGTTTAAATCTATAGTAATCATACACTACAATCACATTGGGCAAACTAAAAATTATAATATGCGCTCTAACTGAGTACTGTTGTATTTGTTATATTATTTTACTTTATTCTTCTACTGTTACTTACTTGGCCTACAGTAAGTATATACTTAGTGATTTATTAACTAAAAGCAGACCATACATAGAAGTGCCACCATGGCATAAGAGAATAAGGGGAGGTTGAGAAAAATTTTTAAATGTTGCAATATTATGGGGCAGTTTTTCGCTCGAAATGCCTCATTTGTAATAATCAATATCAAGACCCTGAACGTGCATTGATTGAGCCATCAATATGGCACGTCCATACCACACTATCGTAGCTCCACAAAATCTTGCTGCTGTGGGTGCACTGCTACCACCTCTGTGCTCTCTGCAACAAATTTGATTGGCTTGAACTTTGCAGACCTGGTACCTTAATTAACCAGGATTATTTTACTAGGCTAGTTGGAGGATCTTCTTTACCTAGACCTATACGTTGAAAAGACCAGTCTTAAATAAATGACTGTCAGTTTTTTTTCGATTGACCTTTTTTGGGTCGTATGCTTATGCCCTAATGACAGTAAGAGGAGCTAGGCCGGGTTGCTCGTCCAGGCTCAAAATCCTCCGCACACCTCACCGTACGAAAAGTGCATATCATCCCGCTGTATCTTGATAGAGTGTGTACTGTGTCGTGTGCCACGTGAGTTCCTTACTCAGTTAGGAAGTCAAAGCCGAGTAACCACTTTTAGGATTGCATTCATTCAGTACGCGAAATTGATCAATACTTTACCCTGACAGAAACACAGTAATCCATAGATACTCGCACAATAAACATGTAAGTAATTCGATGTTTCAGAAACTCACTTTTACACAATCAATAGGGTACATTATGCAATGCTCTCCAATACCCGCCATGGCTCCAGCAAGCAAGTGTGTGCTAAACTTCGAAGTAGGAATCGCTTCATAATCGTCGCAATTGTCCATGATCTGAGTTCCATATCATTTAGGTCAGATCATTACGACGTTATGAAACTGCCACAACAACTAAATGTCCACAAAATTACTTCTTATATAATATGAATGATTACGAAAGGTAAGCGTAGCAAGCTGGTAGTACTAGTCGTATTGCAATCTACAACGTGAAATCGCCCATCCCTCACTAGCCTAAACTGCGACGACCAGCAAGTACTCGATCATCAAGGCTGCTAGGCGTGTAGACACTGCTCTTGAACATACAGCACGCGAAATGCTTTAGCGCCCTCTCGTGGGATGGCGGGACAACATTGAATAGATTGAATTTAAAACAAAAACAAAAAACAAAAAACAACATAAAACTAACATTTTGAATTGGTGATTAATAAAAGAGCAACTTAAGTATAAAGTCACATATAACTCACACTTAATTATATACAAACGTATTCACTACAAAACTTTATTTCATTTCGACGAATCAATATTGAGTCATCAAAAAAACAAAAAAAAAAAACAAAAACAAAAACAAAAAACAAAAAAACAATTAATTCAAGAAAAAGTACTTTCGGGACGTAGACGGTTTATCAAAAAATTGAACCAAATCAACTATCAAGTGATTCTCCAATAAAAAGCCAACACTTACGAGAAATAGTATAGCCTATAGCTTAAACAAATTTTTATGTACCGTACGGTACCGTTTCGAGTCAGCGTTTTGAAATTTGCAGCCAGAAATGTCAGGAAATGTCTACTATAGGAAATGTTTGTTTTAAGCGTTCGTTAATTGGTGAGAAAATAATTTAATTTTTTCGTTCTCATTTTCAGTTTATAAATGCTGGATGCATTCTTCCTAACGTATCCCGCTGATACGAAAGTTATGCAATAAAAATAAATAATCATTTTCAGTTAAATTAAGCTGTTGTTAGGCCCTATATTATTATTTTATGAAACCTTCCCTAATTTTGCTATCAATTCAATGATTTTAGGGTTTTTTTTTTTTTAAATATTTCCTCAGGCCCTATATCATTGTTAACTTTATTTCCTTTAGCAGCTCTATCCATAGGCCTATATACTTTTCAATGTATCCATTTTCATTTTTATATTAACAAATAACCAAGGATCTTTTCCAGGGCCGGCAAAGTCTGCCGAGTGATTGGGGCATTTTTATTATCATCATCACAATATCGTCAGTCAGTGGCGCCGAGTAGCTGGAGTAGCCGGGGGGGGGGGGCGCCTACCCGGCAGGGGCCCGGGAAAACTAGGCCAAAATAAAATAAAATAAATAAATACAAATTATTAAACGTATACATTCATCCAGTGTTATTTATGCATGTGTTTTCCTCAAGAGAATTGTAAATAAAGTGACCGTTTATCGATGAAAGCTGGTAGTCGCTTCTAATTCTTTTTCATTAATATTTTCATGACTTTCACTACTCTAGAGTTTATGTTTACAAGGTAGGCCTCAGTCAAATAGTAAATTCTTTACGATATTAATAATTATAAAAGGCTTGGACCCTGACATCGTTAATATACATACAAGTTAGAAAATACGAATAGACCTGATAGAGATTCTCTTTCAAATAAATACTGAATTTATATATTATACCAGTGGCGGATTTTTGGGGAGGCCCTGCCCCACCCCTTAAATCTTTCAAAATTCAACAAAAATTTAGAGAAAAAGAAAATTCTACTCAAATATAAGTCTAAGAGTGCCATTTCCGGCCGTCCAGAAGTGCCGGCCATAATCATAAATTTTCTTACCGGTACCTTAGTCCAGGGTGGTGGTAGATAGACCGTGCATCCATCAACAGTCCTTCTCTGGACCCCTCTATTTCAAATTCCTGGATCCGCCACTGTTACATTGATGTTATGAATCTCTTTCGCACGTTTGAATCAAAGGAAGGATAGCTTTTACTTTTCATGTTTCTATACATTATTTTTCATTACTTGGTGAACCCACTCTATAATCCATTAAATTAGTCCTCTAATCCTTTAAAAGACCGTAGCTTCAGGGGGTGGGGGGGAGGGAGCCCACCAGGGATCTGCCCTCGATCCCGCTGGGACCCATAGGCGGCCCCAGACCCCAAACAATTGGGCCCGGGCAGCGAAGATGCCCTGGAGCCCGCGGCCGCTCTCGGCGGCCCTGTCTCCAATCTACGTTTTGTTGAAACTTGAAAAAGTTGCGCGAGTATGGTACGGTAGTCCATAAATATTTATTGATTTTAATTGGCTCGTTTTGTTTGGTATTTATTATAATATGTTTATTAGTGATATCTTAGTTAAAATTAAGTACCGGTATGCTTTCTTGGTCAAATCATGATACATATACTTAAAATTCGAATGTGTAAAATACGTCATAGAACGCTAACGCCAGACCTCCAAGGGGCCCTTCTCGGCCCCGGGGCGCCCAGCGTCTCGGGTCCCTGAAGGGTCCCTTCGTTACGCCACTTGATTATTCTTATTACTAATTATTCATTTATTATTGTGGGATATAGCCCCCCCCCCACCCCCAGGCCTATTACAGTTTTATTGAATTGAATTATCCTTATCATCATCTTTATCTTTACTATATTTATCATTATCGTCATAATTATTATCATTATTATTATAATTTTATCATCATTTTTATTAGTTGGTTATTATTATTCCTATTATAAAAACGATCGAGGCTTATTTGTTTCTTCATGATTTTGTGAAACCTCCCCCAAGTTCAATGATTTTAGGGGTTTTTCTTAATATTTCCCTAGGCTCTATGTCATTGTTAACTTTATTTCCTTTACCTTTGAAAATAATTTTCAATAGAACCGGCATGCACTTTATTTCCTTCTCGATCAGGTCCTTTGAATTCCCTTATTTTTTTTTTTTTATTTTTTTTTTGTTCTATTAGGACTACGTGTTCATGTGTGTATGTCAAAATATTAGGCTACTTCTGTAAAGAATTTGCTGTAAAATGTATTTCTATGATGACTATATAGTCTACATTATTGTATACAGGAGAATAACATGATTATATTTCGGATTCAGTGATCTGTAATAAATTTATCTGCACGCCCTCTAGCAGTGTCTCATTATTGTTTATTCCGTCTTCTATCAATAAACAAGTTTGGATTTCTAACTACACGGGTTTGCACGCATGTCATGTGAAAGTTGGGAAGATAGAAAGAACGTGTACAATATTGGCTTGAGTACACGATGTTCTCCTTTCGGAAGCAGCCTTTGCTGATCATATTTTGTTTATGCTTACTATGCTGTTGTACTTACTGCGAAATTCATCGCGTAAAATCACACAGTGGAAAGAAGGTACAGCCTTTCAAAGAAAGATCACCAGCTATTAACGAGCCCAAGGACAATAGGGCCAAGGGACCAGAGCAAGGGCCAGATGGGTCGACTGCTCCTGGTGGCGAAGATAATATGTCTCACACAGAAACATGCGTTTGTGCAATGATTGCAACTGTTTTTGTTGGCCTTAGTGGTATTTTCCCACTCATTTTGCCTATTGATACGAGCCACAGCCTTAAAGATGGAAGTAAGAATTTCTGCATGTTTTGTGATTTTATTAATCAAATAAAATAGTATAGTAAATATACTGTACTAGCTAGGCCCATACATACTTTACTGGTCTAAAGTAATACTACTATTTTCTGTATTCTATTTAGGCCTATGCCTCAGCAGAAACAGAACGGAACTACAGTGTAGCAGAAATAATTAGTCTATTTTTAACACTATACTAGGGATCCTGTTGATACTCGATAGCAATTAATAAGATTGGATGTACCAGGTACATACAATCTTTATCTCTTCTTACTTAGGTTAAACCAGGGAGATGAAATACTGTATACAAATACTGTCAGTCTATACACTTGCAGCGCATTATGACTGCAATTTGAGTGTTTACTACAAACATGATGGAGGTATAAAACTATTGTTATTAACCTTGAGTGATGTCATTGAACGTTAATATAATATTAAGTTCCAGTTTTGATTTAAACACTATCGATTAATATTTACTGGATGATTGAAAGCAATCACAAGATTAAACCAGGGAGTTATGTGCAGTTTCTCAAAAAAAACAAAAAAACCTTGAGCAGTTTCAAAATTGTGCAAGGGAATTTTCCACAATTTAAGCAGTTTAGGCCTGTCCTATCCTTTAATTACCATTATATTTTATCTTCTTCGTTTTAACATTGATAACATGGAAAATAACTCCAGTCTGTATTTTATCGCCATAGTTAAAAAATACCAGAACAGAGTTATCCAATATGCAATGTTTATGTCAATATTTACATAAATCCAACAAACTGCATATACCATCTGCACTTCCCATGAACATGTCATAAGATAATTAGGTGTTGATTGCATATTACAAATTTTCAAAAAATCACTCATCTACTGTAATTGCTATTTCATTATTCAATTTATTAGAAAATGCTTTAACAATAGTGTTAAACAGGGCTGTAAAAAGTTGGTGATCCTGGGTCCGGGACTTGAGTATTTTAGGGCTGGGCTAGCAAAAAATACATTAAAACTAGACCAACATTCAAAAGCTGATATATAAGGGCTAGCAATTATTTTGGCAAAACTAGACCTTGGTCCAACAAAAAAAAAAAAAACTTTTTACATGCCTGGTTAAAAAATCTTATGGTGCATCCTCAATGACAAGGCAGTGTAACTAAAAAAAAACAAAAAAAAAACAAAAAAAAAACGTGGATCGTTTTAGACATAGACATAGACATCACTTTATTAATCCAAATCCTTGGAAATTACATCGCTCTTTCAATAAATTAAGCAGGAAAAGTAATTCAATGCAATAAATAATAACTATCTTACATATCTACTATTAAATAGGTAAACCCCCCTCGCAATGAATGAGTTAGAATAACGGTTCGTGTTAGCAGCCGGTACCCTCAGTCTACCGCTGCGTTGTATAACGCAACTAGCAATACCCTCAGTCTACTGCTGCGTTGTATAACGCAACTAGCAATAGTTTTATTTTTTTAGTTTTAAAGTACAGTGAACATATTGTAAATATCTACTTTATATTATGCTACAGTATACTACTTTGAAATATAAAAAAGATCAAAATCAGAGAAATTAAATACTGAGCATGCTGTATCTAATTATACTGTACAGTTCTAAAAAGTTGAAGCCAAATACTGTACTAGAATCTCAATGTAAAAAGCTGACAATTTGACATACGGTAATTTCACATTTAATTTTTTTTATAAGTAAGCCATGTATAATTAATTCATATAAAAATGTGGAGAACAATACAGTTTTAGAAGTGGTTTGGCGCAGCGTGAAAGGTTTGGTTTCCCAACCTCGAGGTCGGGGTTTCAATCCCTCGCTGTGCATTTTGCTTGTGTCCTTGAGCAAGACACTTTATCTGCATTGCTTCTCTCCACCCAGGAGTATAAATGGGTACCTGGTGGGGTTGCTTGCTCCTGCGCTGAATACAGCAGCAACTTATGCATGTGGATCCAATGACCAGGAACAGAAGCGCTTCGTATCTGCAAAGAAAGGCGCTATATAAATAAATATGAATAGAATAGAATATATGATTGGGGACCATTAATTGGTTTTAAAAATACAATCACAAACTAATATCATATATACTGTATCAAATAAAATATTATTTCTTCAATTGTTCTTTCTGGTTCCAATGCCTATTGATGTACAACCTAGTTTATATGTTGGTGAAGTAAACACGCATCATCCCCTTTTCTTTTTCAAAATCCTGAACAAGAAATGCAAGACTGGATTCAAGGGGGTCCAGCAACTACCTTCTTCCTCTAAATAAATCAATACAATGGAAAATATGAAAAATCCAAGTCTGAGATTGCCATTTCAAAGCATATCTAGAAGTGTCTTAGCCTTAAAATTGTCTATGGCATGGGCTGATGATCTGGTCCCTCCATCAGATCTGTGAAAGACCATTTCCTGGTCTCCCTCTATTTTGAATTCCTGGATCTGCCACTGATATATGTGGCTTTTTATGTAAATTTGGCTTTGTATGATGGGTATATAAATATACCTCGATTGTATAAGTTTTTTTATTTGTTTAAATTTTACTATATTTTTGTTAGTCATGTTACAGGGTTGTAGCTGTAGAAAACTAAGGGTGGGTGGTGGACATTATTAAGGGTGGGTGGGTGATAACATTGGTAAACTATAATAAATAATGAGGGTGGATTTTAAGGATAGGCAAGGAGGTTAATAATGGTAGGTGAGGGCCAATTAAAATTACATTAAGGCCCAATAAAAAAAATTATTAGTTTATCACCCTCGCGCGCATGTCTTTTATGGTACTGGGAAAAAAAAATTTTTTTGAAAAAACTTTTTTTTTTTAAACAAATTTAAAAAAAAATTTTTTTTTTTTAAATTTTTTCATTTATTTTATTAAATAGTTAGTAGATATTGTTTGCATTATCTAAATCATGTTTTACTTTGAATATTGATGCACCAGCAAACAACCCAAGGGTGATATTTAGCTTTAGCAAAATAAAAAATAAAAGAAAAAAACCTCCCTCCTTCATCACTTTTCCTGCCCAGATAGGGTGATAAACTAATAATATTTTTTATAGGGCCTAATGCCAGGCTCCAGGGGGAAAAAGTTTTTGATATGTTGCACAACTGACACGAAAAGCATATTTAACAAAAAACGGTTAATGATATACAGATTTTTGAATATTTAAAAACTGGGGGGAAAGGTGGAAAAAAGGTGTTTACACTCCTTCCCCCCCCCCCCCCAGGTTTTTTGTCAAATATGCTTTTGTGTCATCCGGAGACTGGCTTTATGTAAGGCTGGGTGGTCCCACTGACAATAAGTACATTCCCATAGTTACTCAGTACACTGTAATGTAATTCATATTTTTTTTTTAGGTCATTTCGAAATATTATGCTGAAATGTAATTCTAGTGATTGTATAGCATTATCTAGGTGCCAAGTGTATGTTTGAATATTAACAACCTTTATCTCCATGTGCCCCTGTGTTAAGCTCACTGGGATGGCGATAACAATGATTAGTCTATTAGGAAACAATTGTGATTTGACCTGTCTTTTTGTTATCTTGACCCAACAGTGATAGTTTATATAAATGGCAAAATGTTTAAACAAAAATTACTCTATAGAGAAAGTTTTCTTTATCATACAATCTAAATACTGATATTTCTTGATTTATTTTGAATCATGAAGAAATAATTGTTTAAGATTTTAATAGTTATAATTTTTTTGTTTCCAATTAAAAATCACCTAAAATTGCATATATCCAGTGGCGGCTCTGGGATATAATACTACTTTATTTGAAAAACTATGCCTTTCCATCGGCGGTACACGTCACACGTAGCAATTGACTGTTTTCAATTCCATCATTTCAATAAAATATGCTAAACAAGGTGTAAAAAAGTCTCATCTAGCCAACTACTGAAACTACAATAAACATCCGTTGTTATTCAACCCATCAAACACACAAACATTTTGCACCATACACAGATATCTCTACCATCTCCTCGAAGAACAAGAAGATTTTGAATATTTTGATGTCAGTGTGGCAGATTCTTAACAGCTAGGAGCCTATTTTTCAAGTTTATTGGTACTTCCTTTTATTTACCACATCTGTTTGATGGTAATCCTGACTGTCTGGTAGTTAGTTGGTGTTTATGTATCTAGCAAGTTCGATACAGTACGTTTTTATTATTTTAATGAATATATATAATGACAAATGTATATGAAAAAAAATGTCTTTTTGGTGTTCCATAGTGACTAGCAGTAATTAGAGATAAATTAATCTCAGAGATGAAAAATGGAGAGTGATTTTCAAATAGGTGTAAGGACTTTTTTCTTTTGGTTTCATAATGAGAAATATGTATGATATATTATATTTACTGGTTTTATTCTAATTGATATAACCAATTTTTCCTTAACAGAAGATGGAGCAAGATTTCGACGGGTGCTTGCCTTTGCAGTTGGAGGTCTGCTGGGGGACGTGTTTCTTCACCTTCTGCCAGAGGCTTGGGCACATGTGAAATATTCAAGTAAGTGGTTTGTAGATTAGTTGTAAGTTTGTACCCTTCTCCCCTCTACCACCAAAGTGTGTGGTTTATTCCTTAAACTACTTCTCTCCAAATCTGCATACGATATAGTTAGTTTGATACTGAAAGTGATGTAAAATATGATAGCAAGTATTTCTACTTTCAGTAGTAGGCAACATATTCTAGAAAATAATTTAACTGCAGCCAGCTTGTGGGAGAGTCCATACTCATTGATAGAAAGCCCCACAACCTGTTTTTGTGGAGATATGTAACCTCACATTGCGCTTTGGGAGTATATTTTTATTCCTCCTGTTTTAAATAATAAAGAAGTTGTCCTTCTATCATAGACCTCAATACTGCTGGTTTGTAGCACACTAAATATACATTGGTGAATCCTGTTATAACTGATCAATAAATGTTTTTGAGTATTTTTTTGAATAACAATGAAAATATAGATTTAACAAATGAAAAGAAAGAATGATAGTCCAGTAAATTGTAGTGAATTATTTACAAATTTGTCAAAAAGAAGATGTAGTTTGTTATGAGGTAAGGGGCTTGAATATTCTGCAGTGATATTTATTTGTTACAGTTATTATTATTATTAATGTGTCTTAAAGTAAATAATGGCAAGGTCTCTGTGCTTCTCACATTAAGTACAGTAAAAGCTACTCAAACCTAATGTTTGTACTCAGACAGATTTTTTGGAACACAATTATTTAGTCCACTCTTGAGTACTTCATCAGGGTATT